ATGGCCCCTCCTTCTCCCCCCATCACTCAGCGTGATGCTAGTCAGCGCAGGCGTCTGTTAGCTGACGTAACAGATCTGGCGGTTGGCGCTTTCCTCCGAGCGCGTTCAGCTGTCCAGTGACGTTGCGTGAGCGGCAGCTCGAAAAGAAGCGGTGGCTGGTTTCACAGGTCTCGGAGGAAGCCTGTGTTAGCCTTCACCCTCCTAGCGTTGATAGCGTGGTGTGTGACTGGGGGAGTCCTAACTAGCAGGTGGAATTGGAGACGACTAAATTGGGGAGAAAATCGGGTAAAAATTGAAGAAAAGGTCAGGAAGTTCAAAACCATTATTTAAAATGACCAAAAACCAACTATTTAAAATTAGTAATAAAAAATGATAATATGGCATTATTTTAATAACATTTTAATTACCCAGCTATTAAAGCACATAACACAACACATACCCAGCTATTAAAGCACATAACACTGGTGACACATACAAGTTGTGTACTGCCTGATGAACAAAATTATTAATAAATAATGAAATATAGTGAGTGAGTGTGACTCGCCTTCTCGTGCCTTGAGATGCTTCCTCTCTACCCAAAGAAGTAGTTTCACAGAGCTGAAAATACTGTGTTAAAACGTAAAATAAGAGTCCTGATAACACCAGTGACCAAAATCTCTGTGACAAATGTATTTTTTAAACAAAATGCATATATTTTTTAAAACATAGTTTAACGTTAATGATATAAAAAGTAAACATGAATCTGTTTTATACAAATTCCTATATTAAACCTCTTAAAAACTTTGTTTTATGTTAAAAATAGTCTCTTAAATGTTGGAAATTGTTGTTTGTGCTGTTTTACATATACAGAGTGATTATGAATCAGGATTAAAAAAAAGAAAAATCAGAGAACTCATAAGGGAAAAGTATTAATCTCAGGTCAACTGTGTAAACGTACATACTGACTTTTGGTGCTCTGCCTAATATTTCAAGCATCTTTTTAAGCCCTGAAACCTTTTGGAAGTTGTTCCCCCACTCCAAATGGACAATGACCCAAATACAGGAACCTGAAATATAGCTCTGTATGCTCATTACCTGAGAACTTTCCTCATACTAAACTAGCCCCTGGTGCACTAGCCTGAGGTGATGAGATGAAGCCGGAGATGGACTGAGCAAAACAGGAGCTCAAGAATAATCAGGCCAGGCATCGGGTGGCAATGCCCACCATCTAATCATCATGCCCCACTAAACCCACTAGCTTTTAAACATGCTTCTATGGTGGCAGGAAGCCAAAACACAGTGAAACTAACCTATGTGTGCTACTGTTGCCTCATGTGCTTGAAATATAAGAGTATATCAGTTAACATAGGAAGGACTGCATGCACCACTTTGTATTGGCTGGTTTTTTGGATGTGCCATATGTTGTGGGAAGACAAATCAGCAAGCAGGGTTCCTAAATTTAGCAGATCTGTGGTGATTAGCTGTAAACATATCTCTCCTGTGGGTCTTGACCTGCCATACATTTATTGCTTCACGTGTTTTCTTATCTAAACGTAATAACGCAGTACACTTACAGTAAATGCAGAGCACTTAATGTTCAGTTATCACATTAACCTTTGCACTTGTGCGTGCGTGTGTGTGTGTGTGTGTGTGTGTGTGTGTGTGTGTGTATGAATTCACCTGTTGTAATTGAGAGATTAAGTGAGGAAATACTGCACACACAATAAAATGTTGCCATCTCCAATTTCATGTATGTCACAAACTTGTCTACCTTTGGCATCTCTGACTTCCCATAACCTACTGAGGATTATGTTCCCGTTTCTCTGCCATATAAAACTCTTCAGAAAGGCTGTAGATATTCTGGACTTCTCTCTCTGTATGAGCTGAAAAGTGTCAGCAATGCTTTTAAAAACATCTCCTCAGTCCAAATCTGCTTACCTCTTTACACCTGGCGCTTTCCTCCGAGCATTTTCGGCTGTCCAATGATGCGTTAGAGGAAAGGAAAGCACATTTTTATATGTAAATTGTCGTATTAAATTAATCAATAGCAACCGCACAATTTATACTTTATAAGGCTCCGCCCGCGCTCTTAAAGTCCAGCATGGTATTTCCCAAAGAGAGTGATAGAGTAATTAACAGGAATGATGGGAAACAGGAGAACAACTGTTCCTGTACAGATTGTGCTCATATGTTACAACACTGTGCTCCACAGAGCTCGTCTAGCTTTTGCCAGTAAAAAGAACAGATGACTATGCAAACCACTCTTTAACAGCGTGCGTGGAACTGCAGATTATGAATCGTCTTATCTTGTCATCCTCTAAGTGGGTGCGTAGAAGATGTACATTTCAAAGTGCAATTGTGAAGAAGGACAGTTGGAGGTGAACATTTGACATGAAGAGATTTTTTTCTCTGTCTTTTTATTTTCATTTTTTCCCCATATCTTAAGTTCAGCAAAAGCATAGTAATAGTGTTTTAAGATATTCTGAAGTCTGTTCTCTATAAACTTATCTCTAAGTCTCTCTCTCTCTCTCTCTCTCTCTCTCTCTCTCTCTCTCTCTATATATATATATATATATATATATATATATATATATATAGTCACCCATCATTTGTCACCCATCTGTACCCATAGCTTTAATAACACAGCTAGCATTTTAACACATTTTTTCTTTAAACCAAGACACAAATGTAAATATATGGGAACCATATAATGATCCTATCCCAATAAGTCATCCCAGAGCCCACATGCAAAAGTTTCAGACAGGGCCCTCTTAATCCAGGAACAATCACAAGGTGAGCTACATTGTAAAAAAGTAGATCGTCAGATCTCCCTACAACAATGACTTCATGTGGTAAGAAGCAATTGAACTAGTTTTATTCAACTTCAAATCTGCACTGAAAGAATCATTCATTCAAAGTATTTATTCAGGTTGAATAAAACTAGTTAATTTACTTGTTACCACATGAAGTAGATCTGACAAGCCACTTTTACAGTGTAGGCTAACCAAGCTACTTAGCCCTGTAAAGAGCTTTGAGCTTTTAGCTTGTTTTTCTGTATTGTTTTCCATATAATATAACTGACAATCTGTATTATCTGTAACACTTTGTATTATCTGCTGATGCCTTTTGTGTAATAGTCAAGTAAAAGCAGAGATTATCTGTTTACTTATCATATTTAAAAATTTCATGTTAAATGCATAAATGGTTTGCGTTCAAAGTGATGTTATTTTCACCCTATGACAGACGTATAAATCTGTGGTGTGACTCCAACTGCTACATTTTCCTCCCTCTGTAACGTGATGAATCTGTAATTCCCTCTAGATACGAATGCCAAATGCATAAATGTAAGCTTTTAGCAAATCTAATACTGTTGGCAAAGCCTCAAAGCTTTGTTATACCATAAACATAACTACAATATTACATTCTATCATATGCATCATCATGGACGTCATTACTTTTACCAAAGGAATATCAGATTTTAAATAATATAATTCAAATTTCTCAATGACAAATTATTTTATATACTCCTGAGTAAATACAGTTTATGTATTTAAGCACCCAGGACTATTTCAGACAGAAACCTTCACATTGTAAGAAGCCTCTATGATTATGCTATTTTTAGCACCTCTATGATATATGCACTGATATGTTAGGGCCAAGTTAAGAGTGGTGCATGTGTTCAAAAGGTGGGTTTAGCACTAGTAATGACTACTAACACTACTAACAGACATTTGAAGTTTGTTTGAGGACAAATGAGGACCAATCTAACAAATCAATTCAAACTATGGTTTGAAAAAACATATAGATAGATAGATAGATAGATAGATAGATAGATAGATTCATAGATAGATAGATAGATAGATAGATAGATAGATAGATTCATAGATAGATAGATAGATAGATAGATAGATTCACTCATTAAGTCAGTTGGTCTCATTTGCAAACAACTAATCATGTGAGCTCATGTCTTGCTGGAATGAAAGACTGCAGCAAACCATCCCTTTGGGGATAAGATTAGACTTGTCACTATCATGTTTTGTATCAGCTAATTAACCCATATACTCATATACTCATATACTCATACTGTTTTCCAGATAAGAGAAATGAGTAGAAATAAATTACAATGTTACTGCATGACTAGTGATGTTAGATAATCAGCATTCAGTGGGCTTAGAATTATGAGGGAGTCGAAATGAAATTATGTGCATGTAGGTAATCATTTAGTGCTGATTGTTGTTGCTCTGGTGATTTAAAACAAACAAGCACTGTAGAGGAACACTAACTTTTCAGCTCTGGAAGGGAACAGATTATTTGGATCAGGTGTGTTTGCAGTGGGGAAATTACTTATGTTCAGAACCAGGGTTGTTCCCTACCCTTGGGCTGGAGGCTCACTGGAGGCCACTGCACTGCACTTTTTAGTGTTTTCCCTGCTTCCAACGCACCTTACCTAACTAATTAGCTTATTACCAGCCCATTATTGAGTTAAAGTGGGTGTGTTAAAGCAGGAAAAGCACTAAGATGTGCGGGACAGTGGACCTCCAGGACCAGGATTGAGAAACAGAGCTCTCATGCATGCAGCACACCAAGAATGGCCCTATGAAAATGTGTAAAGGTACATAGATCTATACATTTCCACATCAAATCATTCATAAATCATTAAGCAAATATACTATCGTCTGTGTGTTTCATAAGCCAGGCTCTGAAAAGCTACTTTTGTAGGAAATAGAAACAGACAAACTTTCAGTTTCGATTCTTATCAAGCCATGAAGTAATGAGGTCGAATGAAAGTAGTCCGACTTCACTGGGCAGTGAACTCTTCCTCCCATCTGTACTTCCTCCAGTCTGAAACAACAGATAAGGGGTGCTGAAGGTAAAGGCTCAGGTGAGTGAACTAATGATGGGAAATGTGAATGGGCAGAGACACTATTGGGAAACCGTGACACATGTTAACAGTTTCGAAGGATAAACCATATCTGTGGGAGATTCTGAAATGCCTCTATGAAGCCACACCCCTTTAGATCTGATTTATATCCAACACAGCTCTGCTCTTCATCACATTTCGAACCAACAATGAAGCTGCAACTAACACTGGCGCTCATCTGCGTGCTCCTCCCACAAGGTATAGGACACGACTTTATAATGGAAAGTTTTAGATTTCAGTTTAATCAGTTTATGTAGTATAAAATATCATTTTAACCAAGTTGTTGTGGCTGTATTGCTAAAGAATCTTTCACGTTTGACCTTTCAATGCAATATTATGTGTTGAGTTATTGAAGTTTAACGTTTTGAGGATATGAATGAATGTTGTTTTGATTTCTCTTGCTGAACTGTTGTTTTAATGCCTGCCTTCTCTGTTCTCTAGTGAGGACATATGCGATATGTTACCTGTGTATACCAGATGCGTCTGGAACATGCAAAGAAATGCAGACGGTCTGTGCAGATCGGTGTGGCAGCCAGACCACCCTCGTGAGCGCTGGTAAGAATGAGCTCAGTACAAAATGGTGAGACTCAGTCAGAAGTGTATCCGCTAATTCATGTGTGCTGTGTTCACTAGGTGGTGTACAAGAGGTGTCGAGTGTAAAGGCTTGTGCAGTAGCATCACAGTGCGTCAATGGGAGCCTGAACCTGGGACACGTGAAAATGACTGTCCACACGCAATGCTGCACCACTGATCGCTGCAACAGCCAGAATCCAGCAGGTAAAATCAAAAGCTTTGAGTACTGAACCAAGATTGTTGACCATAAAGTTCAACTGCAGAACTGAAGAAAAGGTGTTAAATCTCTTCTTGTGGCTTGTTTTCCGGTTCAGCTTTGCCATTTGGGTCTCCGAATGGGAAGAAGTGTTACACCTGTACTAATAACGACTGCAAAGGAACTGTGAACTGTGAGGGGGATCAAGATCGCTGCATCATCACCACAGGTGAGAACTGCAGTACTCATTTAAACATAATGTTATTTTATGTGCATTTCTGGCCTAAAATAAGAGCTACTCACAAGAGGGAAAGTTCTTATGACACTCAGATGATTGTTTGAAAGTTCCTGTCCCAAACAACTATTTCTTAGCACATTTAATTAATTAGTTTATTTATTTATTTATTTATTTATTCATTCTCCTGACGTCCGCTTACATTTGTGTGAGTTTATGTACCAACAATAGTCATTTTACACAACCTCTTTCTCTTTATCTGCTAGAATTAAATATATAATGGGAACAAAAAATCATATCTCTAAAAGGAAAAAACACTGTAAATAAAAAAAACACAAAACAGGCAAAATAATGACAAAAATGGAGATAAAAGGTTCTGTTTGTACAGCGATGCTGTTCTGATTGGCTGTCCTGTATCGCGCCTCATACATCGCGCCGCAACCTAAGCTGAAATGCCTCTGCTGTTGGCTGAATTGACAGATATGTGCAAATATGTCAGACAGTACACTGTTAGAATAAAGCTTCTGTGCAGGTACAATTTTCGTTAATCAAGGTACAAACAGTGTAAATGTGCCCTCAAAGGTACAACAGTGGTTTTAAGGTCCAATTATTAACTTTGAATAAGTTTTTCCAGGTGAAAAGTTCATATTTGTAGCTTTTCATAACCAAACGTTTTAAAACAGAACAATAAAATAAAAAGCCTGGAGACGAGACGGGGTGTGGAGTCAATACAACTTAGAAAATATCATTTAAATGGATTATGGAACAATTATGTTCCCTGCCTAAAGGTACTGAGATGTACCCTTGAGGGTCTCACCCCAGTGACAAGAGGGGCACTGCCCCAGTGACAGTTCCGTACCTTTATTTCTAGTAGAGTGTGGTAAAAAGAAAGAGGCAGTGGAAACAAAAGGTAAAAGGCTTTTCAAAAGCAAAGGCTAAAGCAAGTAGTCTGACAGGGTTTTTTTGCTAAAGTCTTTTAAAGACATTTTTAAACTAATTAAAAAAAAATCTTAAAGATACTGTTGAGGGGATTAAAGGACAGGGTTGGTTGGCACAGTGTTAATTTCTGAGTCAGTAATGGGAAAATTTAACATAAAAATTACTGACCAACATTCATTTTATCAGGATGTTAAGGTGGGGATGATGATAATTCCCACATCGATGCTGTTCTGATTGGCTGTGCAGCATTAGACCTCATACAAAAACACACTCCTTATAGTTTCAGGGTGAATGGATGGAGCTAAACTGGTGTGAACAGGCAGAGAGATGCTCACATGTTGTTTTTTGTGAGATCACATTTAAAACAGGCTGTTTCTGGAGCTTAATTTTATATAGTGACTGTATGAACTGGGGAGTGAATTATATGTTTTGAAACTCTAACAATGTTTAAATACTACATCAAAGACTTTTATTAAAAAAAAATGATATGAGCTCTTTAAATTGAAAAGAAATGAAAAATATAAGACCACTTTTCATCTGAATTGGCCTTTTATCTGTATAAATGTATTGAGTGTATTCATATAAGTCACTCCTCTTTCTCGCCTACATCTGCATTCACAGTTACTTCCGGTAATGTTCAAGTGAAAGCGAAAGGCTGTGCGAGCAGAAGTCTCTGTGCTGCAGACGCATCGAGCATGAAGGCAGCTGGAGTCACTGCAACTGAGAGCTGCTGTAAGGGGGATATGTGTAACAGTGCTGAGGGGGTTAAACTGAGTCTCCTCATCATGCTGGTTCCTCTGATCTCCTCCACCCTCTTCCACTGAACTCTCTGTGGCTCAAGCACTTTTTCACATTTTCATTTTTTTTATCTTTTGATTCTCACATTAGTGTATATATTACAAGATGACAGAATGGAGAGTCTGAATGTTGTTTATAATGACGGTTTTTGTAACCAAAATAACTAATAAACAGTGTAAAGAGTGACTCTGTTTTCATCTGATATATGTATGGAGCATTTTACTGAATTAGTTCAAGCCACTGTCCCACAGTAAAAAAAAAGTATTCAGACTTTTAGATATTTGAATGATTGATGATGTTATGATCTATTTAAACACATTCATTAAAATAGTAATAAGCTAAATATATACAAAAATCATACTTTATTGGATACTTTCTATTTGGACTCCCTTCTAATCACACAAACAAACAAAAACTTAAATTGCCGTCCCAAGTTTTCATGTCACTACCACTAAACACAACAAGTTCTATGCCATGGGCAGAGCCTTTTTGAACCATACCCCTTTCCTTTTAGAGCAGGCAGTAAGACTATATCCCTGCTTCTCATGGCCACATGGTGAGCAGTTAGATCCCATGGTTTTAAAGTAATTGAGTCCGAAAGTCTGAAAATTTGTGTAACCTTACAAATAGTCCCTACTGCAACGCATCTACTGCAAGAATATTTTTTTTGTTTGTTTGTTTGTTTGTTTTTTTTTAATTAAAACTCTATGATTTAATGTGTACAACCATTTAAAGCTGTCCTTTTTTTTCCCCCCACTGAGCTGGTTATGGAATGGTATTGGCCGCTACAGGATTCAGAGAGTACAAAGTTATCAAATGGATTCAACTTGTTTACTATGTAGAATAGACTGTAACATTTCAAGTGGTTGCTGCTGTACATTTACATACATACGTTCACATAATGTATACACATAATGGCAGCACCTTTTCTAATAAGCACAAAGAAAATACCTATTTACATTTGTAAGAACCCTCCAAAACACACAACATTTAGTTCCCGGGCCCCTTAACCGAAGCCTCAAAGGACTAACTTTACCTCTCACTTAACAGCTTAAATAAAGAACAAAAACTCACATCATGTCTGAGTGCTATACAGCCCACCACAGCAGTCATACACAAGAGAATAAAAGTCCCTCTTTTAGTAAATATGTGTGACTCGTCTTATCAGCACAGGCGCATAGGTGTACATGACCATGCACAGCGCTAGGAATTTAAACAGTGTCTGAAAAAATGAAGAAGTCACAACAAAAGCTGTGTTTGCTAGTCATTTGCTGGCTAGTGTTTCTAAGATCTGCTCAAAATGAGCTAAAACTGTCACTACTGAAACAGTCGCTACTGAAACATTTGGAAAGTGTTATGAATGTTTCGGTAGTGACAATAGGGAATGTTAGTAGAATTAAAGCGTCAGTCAAAGAGAAACGATTTTTGTCCGAAATGTGTTTTCAATTCTGAATTTGAATCAGTTTGCTAGAATGATCAATAAACTCTGCAATTAATTAATGGATCCATTTATTAATATTGTGGCATTGGCGTACAAGAAGACAAGTGAAGGCACTTCAACAGGCAGCAAGAAATGCCCAGCCCATTGCTACTGAATAACAGAGGAAGGTCACCAGTAGCCATACAACTTCTCTCTATGGGAGACAATAAACCCACTGAAGGATGTACAACTGTGTAGTGTGTTTAATGCTGTGTTATGTCATTATCTTCAGTATTGTGTGTGTGTGTGTGTGTGTGTGTGTGTGTGTGTGTGTGTGTGTGTGTCTGTGGACGTGGGGCAGCTTTTCATACCATGACCCTAAAACCTCTTCAAAAATGCAGAGCATGTGTTGGACACCACACAGCCCACCCTTCAATGGTCAGCCATCCTGGTGGCCCACAGTCCGAACAAAGTCTCTGAGCTGTGTGGGCACATTACCCCTGCCTCTCGGGGCCATGACCCTACTGCAGCGGCTCTGGTGTGCCATCCTATTTTGACCCAGGTCGTTCAGCCAATTAGACACCATAGAACAACCTGCACACTCTTTGGCCAGCCCCCCTCCCTACCACGGTACCATAAGCCTCCCCTACATGCCCCTTTCACCCTCCTGTTAAGCCTGAAAGCCTCGACTGGATGTCATCACTATTCTAGAGAACTGCTCATCATCACTTTCACTTTCTTGGACTGATGAGCTGCTGTCGGCCATTAACTTTAACTAAAACTGGTAACTATAATGCAGTATTTAATGTTGTATTTTACAACATACGTTATAAATCTTATCACTTGTATTTGCATATATTACGCATAATGAATGATAATGAATGTACAATGAACTACAAAGAACTACAAATTAATTTTAGTTTTTTTTTTTTTCCTTTTTCTTTTATTATCCTGAAAAATCTTACACTGATCTTGATTTGGACTTAATATGTCCAGGTCTAAGTCTTGACTCAAACTCACCTCTAGTGGTCTTGACTGCACCACTAACTGGCAGTAATCAAGCCTGTGTGTGTTTAGTTTAAGTGACTCCAGATATCAACTAAATTCAGTAAACTGAGTAACTACTTTTTCACACGGGGTCAGTTTATCACAGGACACGGTTTTGTTTTCCTTCAATAAATGAAAGGATTATTTGCTCAGGTCGTCTTTGTCTTATATTAAGGTTTAGTTTGAAGATCTAAAACAATTAATGTTTGATACATTTGTAAAATAGAAGAAATTATGAGGGGGCAAATACTTTTTCATGGTCCTGTATATGTCCTTCTGGCAATCGTGCACTCAATTTTCATTGTTATCGTTTTTGGATAACCTCTGAAAGGCATTCATCTAAACATTTCTGCCCTTCAGTCAGTTTCCCCCTCATTTTCATCACTGAATATGCATGAGTGTTGTCATTTTCCACTATTATTCATCTTTTGAACCCAGATTTCTGTAAACGACTGTAAATCAGTAAATTTGAATGTGAATTAGGGTCAGTCACAGCTCTAAGAGAATAAAGAGCACTATCATATGTCAAGACAGTGTGTGTTTTGTCTTGTAAAATCAATTAAGTTGTGAAAACACTAGAACACTTAATCTTTAAAACGATCACACACAGGAATAACAACAACATTGTGGAAGCACATATACGAATGAGTTTGTATGTCTATGTGTGCGTCTCATCAAGCCTCTGAGGGGCAGCTCCAAGCTGAACAGCGGCATCTAGTGGATAAGACAAGAAATACATAAATCATTATTTACTTTGTCCACTAGATGGTGCTGCTCTTCAAAAAGTTTGCTGACTGGATCAGAGCCAGTCAGAGCTACACAAATATGAACTAGTTCAGCTCTTAGTGAGAGTCCAGATATTCTCTATAAAAAGCCCATGTTCCTACTGTGTTAGCGTGAAGAACAACATTCACAAAAGTAATAAAGTAATTAGAGAATGACAATAATAATGTATTATATATATATATATATATATATATATATATATATATATATATATATATATATATATATATATATTAAGAAAAAAGTTTTTGTTGTTTTACTACTACTACTAGTCTGATGACAATTATTATGACTATTATTATTATTATTATTATTATTATTATATAAATATTTAAAATACAATAATAATTATTAGACATTAGAGGGTTTATAGAAAACAGCTTGAATTGTGGGAAGGAAGGAGGGACACAACTGCTGACTTTGTTTAAAATATTTGATTTAGTGTCTGTATCTGTAATCTTATTGTCAAATGCATTTATAGCTGTACATTATTTTTATAGATTATTATATATTTCACTTACAGTAGTGGGAGTTATCTTTCTTTATCAGTAAATATACCTTATCAAACTCATCACCCACAAGAACATGGTGTCTGCTCTGATTTTACTGCCTCACTTGAGCATCTTAGACGGCATAACGGAACAGTAATAGTATTGTTAGGGGGCCCCCTTGTGGTTCTGGGGCCCTAAGCAGCTGCCTATGTTGCTTATTTGGTAGAGCTGGCACTGTAAGGGGGAATCTCCCTCTGGCAGGGATAAGTAGAGTTCTGTCCTGATTGTTTTTGTAGGGAATGTATGTGATAGTTGAACGGAAGTCGCGCGTCTGTTTTCCTGGGGGTGTGTGCTGGATATTAATGTGCGACAGTGCATAAATCAAGTAGCCCCTCCCATCTCTGTTATTTACACCGAAATTTCTTATTCTGTGCGAGTTGGTCATAAACATTACAGTGGTAAGCTGGCATCACCCACCTCCCCACGGAAAACTTATGTCATCCCAATAATACTTTGCACATACAGCATGCTTATAACAATCTTACAGGCTAACACGCACTGCACTTTGGCCTGAAAGGTCACCAGTTTGACATGCCTGGCCTACACAGTGTATGAATTGCAGTGATGGAAAGATTTGAACAGTAGCAGTCGGCCCAGTATAGCAGCCTAGTCTGGCCTGCTTCCGCATTCAGATGAAATTAGAAATGACCAAGACAAAAAGGACAGATTTCCTGACATTTGTTTGCACACTTTTATTGATTTATTTCATTTTTGCTGATTTATTTTAAAAGACACAGAACTGCTCACATAAACTACATGCAATGAAGACTGGACCAAACACATAGACCCAGCAGTAGAGACAAATGGAAAAATGGGACATTTGAAGACTAATTCCCATCAGGCCTGTGTCAAATTATATTAGTCGATTTTTTTTGCCATAAAATCAACTAATATAATTTAAAATTATGGACACCATCCATAATTGGATCCCTCTCTTGCGGATCACATTGGTATATTTCTAATTTCTACCAAGCCTGTTCTTTTTCTTAATTTATTCTCTCAGTTTGTTAATGAATATTGAATTGACTGTTTATGAAACCTCTAAAGTGGCCAGTTGCTGTGGAGTGAATGTTTGTTACTTTTATAAAATAGAGACAATATAAATATAATAAGATCAAATTCAGCAATGTTTAATTTTTTGACCAAAATATATATATATATATATATATATATATATATATATATATATATATATATATACATACATAGTTTGTTAACAGTAGGATTTTAATAAAGATTTAAATATGGCTTTGAATGTGGATTAGCCAATCGCATTTCAGAATTGGCAATCCATTTCATTAAGTCATAAGTATTAACATTATAATATAACTGAATTTAATAATAGTGATTTTTTAAAAAGCACTTTTAAACAGTGAAACATG